CTGCCTTGGGTGTCTACTGCACAGGTGAAGGTTCAACCTCCTTGGCATGACCTGATGGAAGCACCTGGGTCCCTGGCAGAGCGGACGTGGTGTCGCAGGGCACCCTGGATTGTCCTGAGATAATCCTTGGGTACCTGTCTTTGGTATACAATAGAACCTTACTCATCCCTTGAGGAGATTGAGCATCTGAAGGGAAGTCAAGGTCCCTCTGCCCTCTCTCGCCTAGTCAGTGAATGAATGCACCCATAGCTTCAGCGAAAAAGCAAAGATCACTGCATATCTGGCACATTCTGATTGTTCTGCTGGACCTGGATCTCCATGGTGGCCACCACTGATTCCACAGAGACAACCATACACTTATAGGCCAGTGTACCACCATTAGACAGAAATTATCCAACTCCTCCACCCTTCGTTCCAGTCTTCGAATGACTCCGGTACTTCTGACAGATATTACCCCACTTGCCAATGTATTTCCATCAGTCTCATTATTGACTTAGTTCAGTGGCTTATCAAGTACACCAGATAAAGCAGGCTAGTTTTCCAGCATTGCTGCAAGTGTCAGAGATCTTGGTTATTCCTTCCCCCACTTTCTGGGGGCCCATTGTCAGTGCTGTGCAGTGCCAGAAAGTGACTTTAAGCATACTATAGATAGATTTCCCAATAGATTAATGTCTCTGTTGCTGGAGGATGAGATGGAAGGACTTGACAGTTCATCATCTCAAGTTCACAGAGGTTCCTCCTCAGGAGTGTGGTTTGATAGGCTATTAGACATGGTACTGGAGATTGGGCTTTCCTTCGTTTTCTCCAGGCTTGGATATGGGATCTGGAGGCTGCATAGAAAAGAACAATGCTTTGTTTGTACCACGAGCTGCAACGCTTAACCAAGTTTGATGTGGAAGTAGCAAATCGAAGGTTTTCTCACTAGACAGTTGTAGGTATCCAATCTCCCTTTCAGCACTTGCCCTTACTATCTTGCTAACTTGACAGCCTGCTCTTTGAAGGGGTCAGGAGCCTAATGCCAGGCATCCTGTCCACTTTTGCCTGGTAATGTTCACATTTATTCTTCTCCCACAGAAGGAATGAAGCATTAACAGACATCAGCGTGGATATACGAGCACTATACCTGCATTGATAGATACAGGTGTCAATCCCCAGAGTTGTGATTGTCTGTGTGTATTACTGGTAAGAAGTATATGGTGTAAGAAGTATATGGTGTGGGGGAAATTAGTTATTAAACTATTCTGAAGGAAAGGTGTTTCAGTAATTTTGAAGAATTACAGTAATGCATTACATGACATGTGTGCTTCAGATATCTGTGAGGTGTTCACCCCAAAGCCATCTTTTGTGATTGTGTCTTTGTCCCATTCAAATCTTTGGTGAAAAGTTATCAGATGTTTATTATCTCCTAGTTGTGAAGAAAGGTCAGAAGCTGATGGTGCGCAAGCTGCTGAGTGTTGTAACTCCTTTTGTGTTTTCGCAGTGTAAACCCTGGTAGGTGAGAGAGAGGCAGTATTGCTGTGGTGCAAGGAGCTCTTCTGGTGTCCCTCTCTGGGCCAGGAGGCACAGGTTCAAGTCCCACCCATTCCAGAGGTGTATAATAACACTTCTGAACTGATTAGTTGTTGGCCCAGTGCTAGATATTTTCTAAGTAGTTTCAGGTTGTACATTATATAATTTATTAACTTAGTGAGAAGAGTTATCTGTGAATAGCAGTGAGGCTAAACCAGTGATAAACTACTGGCCAGAGAGAGAGGGTGAGTGATAAACTCAAATACATAGAACATCACTGCGAAACTGAGACTTTCACAGTGCTCTTACCCTCCAATAGCAAACCATGACATGAAACAGCCATTCAGCCCCTCAAGTCTGTTGCCCTGTTAAAGTCTGATCATGGTTCATCCCATGGACTCCTTAATGTTCCAAACAATCCCTGAGATCCCAAAATTTCTCTGTCTCTCTCTGTGTCTGGAATATACCGGATGAGCAGGCGTTCTTGTGTCTCTAGGGAAGATTGTTCCGAAGAGTTCCTCAGCCCTCAGTGTGAAGATGTTTGTCGTCGTCTCAGTTCAAAAAGGCTGACCTTGTTATCCTGAGACAGGGAGCCCTGCCAAAGGTTTTGGCCTATTGGTAATGTCACTGGACTACAATCAAGACCCTGGGCCAGTACTATAGGGATATGGGTTTGAAACTCAGCCTGTTTCGGATGTTACCCATCTGAACAGTACAATTCATTTCTGTTCCAATTCTGGTTGGTATCACTGACCCGAGAAGTTAAATTTTTTTTTGCACCACTCTTTCAGGCATGATCAATAGTATGTGGCTCAGGTGATAATCCAGAGGTTATAACCACTTAGGTCCTATCCTTCAGTTTAATTCCTAGTTCCTGGTATTCCCGAATAGGACCTTTAGCCTACAGTTCCTTTTCATGTTGGTTCTAACATGGATCCCAATACTTGTATCCTCCCCCTTCAGTTCCCTTTCCCCTAATATCTTATCAATCAAGATGTACCTCACCCTGGCACCAGGCAAATTGCATACCACATGGAAGTCTCAATCCTGCCAATAAAAGAGTAAATTATCCATCCCCATAATTATTGAATCATCTAACCCTGCCACATCATACTTCCCATCTTTCTGCTCCCGTATCCTGGTCCAAACTGTCATGATCTGCATTCTGGCTGGTCCTTCTGATGGTCCTTAAACTCAAATGCAGCAAATACTTTGGACAAAAAAAAACACTGGACACAAGGTATAAATACTTATTGCCTCAAGTTTACATAAACCACTAAAAATATTAGAAGTGAAAGGCAGAACCTCCTCCCCACTCTGCATCAATTATCCACTCCATAAATTTCCATAGAAGTTTACATCACAGAAGGAGATTTATTGATAAACCAATCTAAAAGTAATTCCACTGCACTGTGTTCTCTCCATGGCCTGAATCACCCAACTAATCCCACTGTACCATTATCTTCCCAAAGCTGTGTATGAATCCAGAACTGTTCGCACTGTTCCACTCTTCCCATTGTTCTGTGTCAATCGCAAACTAATCTTAGTCCAACCTAATACGGCTGCTGTGCTTTCACCTCATAGGTTGATAAAGAACTCTATTTAAACTGAACAGATGTCATACCAGCTGGCTTGTAAATCAAGCAACTCTTTATGGTTTTTTTATTAGGAATCAATGACAAATGTAACCAGTTAATTTTACAGTTTAAAGAGCAGGGGATTTAAAATAATTTCAGAGTATTGCAGTTAAACAAACTTTACCTGTCCGAAGTGTGTTGCAACTACTTCATAAATTCTTGACTCCAATACTGCAATTTGAAGCTCTGCAACAACCATAGTTTGGTCTGTCTGAACTCAATCCCATTCCCTTTCGTCAACCAGCAAATATTGAGTCCTCTCAGCTCCATGATAATCCAACCCTTATTCTTTAAGTTCTTGACGTTCTAAATAATGCAGCAATACTTTAATCCAGTTTTCACTAACACTGTTTACACAGGCAAAACCTTGTACTAGCTTGCCAAGAGCCCGTGTCATTTATTCAGTTGCCTTAGGCAATAAGTTTGCATACTATTAACTATTTGTCAGTTTGAACACATAATGGCTTGCCTGCAGAGTACCAAGGGAGTTACACTGAAACTATAGGTCACTGGCTTGGTTTGATCTGGAATTATGTCCAATCTGAGCACCATACTTCAGGAAGGAAGCTGGTGTCTTGTAATTTACGTACAGATTTATTTAGAACGGTTTTAGGGATGAGCAGCTTCATTACAGAGATGCTGGTGTTGTTTTCCTTAATGCAGCATAGGTTAAAGGGAGATTTAATGCAGGTGTTCTATTTTGTGGAATGTTTTGATTGAGCAAATATGGAAACATGGGTGATTTACTGGTGAAGGTTAATGAGTGATTTGATGATGGGGGAAAGAAAAGCACTTCTGGATATAAACAAAAGAAAAGAAAGAACAAATATGGAGGACTTTGTGGTTGAAATGTCCCTACATCTGAGCCAGAAGGCCTGGGTTCAAGTCCTACCTGCTCCAGAGGTGTATAATAACATCTCTGAACAGGTTGATTAAAAAAAAAGGAGCAAATGTGTTCATGCCCTGGTATCCTTGGAGATGGAGCACACTGGTATCCACTGATACTGTTCATGTCTTCAGGGAGAGATGGAGTGCCTTGACTCCCCCTCCAATACCATTTTGATTAAATCTCCTCCCTCTCTCCCTACCCATCTCTGGTGTCATTGTACTGCTTCTGTTGGGCTTTGCAGGTAAATTGACCAGTAATTGGAAATATAGACAATTTAGTGGTGTTGGATAAAGGTGCAATGTAACACAGGTGATGGGAAAATATGTTCAGTTTTCTGTGAAAGCACTTCTGGATATGTAACCCAAGGCCAATCCACCAAACCCGCACATCTTTCAACTGTGGGAGGAAAGCCATGCAGGCATGGGGAGAATGTGCAGACTCCACACATTCAGTTTCCCAAGGATGGAATTGAACCCAGGTTCCTGGCATAGTGAGGCAGCAGTGGTGACTACTGAGCCAAATGCTCCCCAAATGTTTGGGGAAAAAAAAAGCAGAGGGGAGATGAGGAGAATTCTTTCTATGCAAAAACTTGTTATGATTTGGAATAATATACCAGGAAGTGTGGTCGAATCAGATTAAGTAATATCCTTCATAAGAGAATTGGAATAATATTTGAAAAGGAGTAATTTTGGATCTACAGCGAGAGAGCAGGTAATTGAGACCAATGGGGTAGCTCCTCTGAACCGGCACGGGCACATTGAGTTGAAAAGCCTTTTTTGCATTGTATGTCCAAGACTCTACCTTTTTAAACCACGTGCTCAATAAAAAAAAGTGCATTCACCTGTTTCTTGGAAAGGTTGTAGAGGAGCTTTTACTTATCCCCTTTATCTTTCCAACATCAAACTTTATAGCCCATGGACTGATGTCACAAATATGTTTTTATTCAGCGTTTCTCCTGTTTCCAGACTCCGCCCAGAGATGAATTTATTGTGGTGGATGTCCATCCATTACCAAAGAATCCTGTAGATCAGAAGCAGCTGAGAATTATAGCACCTCGACCCCTGCCTGGAAAAGCACGGCTCGAGCTCCCACCATGGCGTGACTCAGACCGACATCCAACAGACACCATACGCTTCAACTACCTGGACAACTGTGAACCCCCTGGGTAAGCGTAAGGAAACCTGCTATAGGAATTGTCGGGCTACCAGTAGGGAAGCGGAAGGACCTGCTCAATGCTCAAGGGGAACCTCTGACTCTGTGCCACTGAATCATGTCTTCACAGTATGGGAGGTTGGGGGAACACCACATTGAGGTCACATAAGTAACCTGAACCCACAGCTGTGGGTGTATTCAGTTTGGTTCAGACACTACACCAAGAGAAACAGGAAAGGAATACTTGAGCCCAGTACATGTCATCAGTATGAATCTGACATGTGCCTTGAAATAATCATTTCTAAAAAAAAAGCAGAAAAAAAAGCGTTAAATCATTACTATTACGAATTTATTTTGCATCAATTGTGTAGAGCACTCTGAATCAAAAGACTCGCGATAGTTTAATAATAAAGTTATCTTTTTGTTTTATTCATTTCATATATAGTTAAACATATTGCTCTGACTATCAAAACATGAAACATTTTGAAGCAGAATAGACTATTTATTCTATTGGGTGTGTAGCTTGACGTTTGACATAGGTTAGAGGGGTCTATTGTGCAATATCCATTATAGTCGATTACATAGCGATATATATCTCTCCCAGGGAAGTTTCCACGCACCTTGCTGCAGGTAACAGATCAGCCCTGTGCCTATTACACCTGTTCTGCATCAGTACTTTCTATTCATTCTTGAACTAATAGCATTATTTTTGAATGAGGGTTGCTGTATTTTTCCAGACGAAAGAAGGGAGGCAGAATCACCCCTACTCTTGGCCAACAGGCTCGTGAAAGAAAGAAACATCCATCAGCAAACTACAAAATGAGGAAAGCAAAATCACTGGTAGGTGTGCTACAATTCCTCCTCAGCTTTCTTTAAAAAAGAAATAAAGTAATTAAGATGGACCTTTGGAGAAAGAAAGAACCAAATAACACCCACTGAAATAGCAGGCCACTTTATTCTACACCCACAAACTTCAATGGAAAAAGAAAGTGGGCACAAGTTATACAAGTTTCAAATTTGGCTACTGTCTGGTTCTACTTTTAGTGAAATCGAGCCCCACCCATTGGTGTCTATTTCACCATAACTTGCTAAATTTTTAGGCAGGATCAAAATTCACAATTCACATGTCATTGATCTTTTATTGATGAGAGTCTAATATTTAGAGTTTCACCATCAGGTAAATGAAGTTGACTTCCTATACTTTGGAGTGGGTGGTGGGACACAGTTTTCTGTCTGCACTAATGATCTGGATGCTATCTCAACAAACACATGCATTTGTCTACAAAGCACCTTTCAGTCCTAAATGGTGCTTGTTTGAAATTCAGCCAACACTTTTATAGTTTGCCAGGAGACAGCCTTCAGTCAAGAATAATAACTTAAAGAGTCTCAGGCACAAGTTTCAGACAGGTAGTCTCTAATATGAGGAAAGAATATTGAATTGATGACCAATATTATAGTCCATGTTCCTCTTTTAACTCCAGTTTATTGTGTCTCAGAAATTTGCAATTTCCATTCGAGCTGTGTGAGCAAAGAAAGAAACTAAAGGTTATTAATCAAGACCTACAGTTCCACCATTACATTATCCAAACTGCTTCTTGTTGATTCTAGTTTTGCACACAGTTGTTAGAAAATCATTCCAGTTAGTGAAGAATTTGTTCTTTACCTTTGTTCCTCCTGAATTAACTTGACTTGATTAACTTAATATGTGAGCATCACTGAAAAGTCCAACATTTATTGCCCTTTTCTAATTGTCCCTGAGAAAGTGGTGATCAATGTCCTTCTTGGATTGCTGCAGTCCATGTGGTGTAAGTAAACTATAATGCTTTGTTTCTCTAGCAGTTTGATACAACCAAGTACTCTCTGAAATGGCTTAATAAGCCATTTAACAGTCAGCCAAATTGCTGTAGTTCTAGAGTCATGTGTAGGCCAGGTAAGGATGGCAGATTTCCTTCCCTGGGCGACATTAATGAACCATGGATTCTGTGACAGTCTGGAAGTTTCATAATCATTGTTAACAATACTATTTTTCTGTTTCCAAATGTGATAATTAGTTTAATTTAGTTTCCCGCAGCTGCCATGGGGATATTTGAACTTGTTTTGAAGGTAGTATATTTAGCATGGATTGAAGATTGACTAACTTATAGAAGACGGAATGTTGGGATAAAGGGGGCATTTTTAAGTTGGCGGCCTTTAGTTAGTGTGGTGGCACAGGGATCAGTGTGTGGTCACAATTATTTACAATATATATTAATGACTTGCATGAAGAAAGCGAATGTACTGTAGCCAAGTTTATGGATGGCACAAAGTAGTTATGCAGGTGGTGAGGAAGACAAGAAAGAATCTACAGAGGGATGTAGCCAAGTTATGTGACTGGGCAATAACTTAGCTGGTGAAATGTACTGGGGTGGGGGCGCGCGGAAATGTGAAGTTATGCACTTTGGCAGGAAGAATTGAAGGTCTGAGTATTATTTAAATGGACAAAGATTACAGAAAGCTACAGAATAGAGAGATTTGGGAGTCTTCACGCATAATTCACTAGAAGGTAGCACCCATGTTCAACAGATATGGGTATTACGGAAGGTGACTGGAATGTTGCCTTTATTTCAAAGGAAATGGAGTATAAAAATAGGAAAATATTGCTAAAACGGTACAAGGCAGGAGTCAGACTACAGCTGGAATACAGTGAACAATTTTTGGCCCTTTATCTAAGAAAAGCTATACCGGCATTGGAGGCAATCCAGAGAAGATTCACTAGGCTGAAACCAGGTATGGAGGGACTGTCTTATGAGGAGAGGTTGAGTCGGCTGGGCCTATGCTCATGGGAATTTAGAAGAATAAGAAGCAATCTGAAAGAAACATACAAGATTCTTAGGATTTAACATGGTGGATGTAGAAAGTTGTTTTCTCCCTGTGGGATAATGGGGAGAAGACTCCACACCAGGTTAAATCTGATCTTCCCTGGGGTGAAATGGTAGTAGGAATGCCCATGCCGAACACATGACTCCTCTAAGTGACAGAAACAGATTACTTCAGAGATGAAGTTTGGTGCAGGAACCACAGGAATGGCCCTGCATGGATAAGAGGCATGGTCGATGCGAGGTCAGGACCAATGACATATAAAATTTGGGTAGGTGCAATGGTCCTGAACAAACATGTGGACCATATAAAAGCTGCAAACTCGCAAGCGGTGTGGGAGCAAAACGTGCCCAATTCCTCAACGGCCTTTCTGACTGCTCCGGAAGCCGTGGGATTCTCCCTTTCCATCAAGCGTTGAAAATATCTCGAAATCTGAGTTGAACACAGCAGATGTCACTTCCGAGATGCTCCTGGCACAAGAGGTGAACTCCTGTGCGTTACAACCCACCTGTACCAGAGACTGAGTTGGAGGAACCTGACCAGGTACTAAAACACACCAGTGGAGCTACAAAGTAAAGAACCGGCCTATGTCCTTAGACACAGGGGGAAGGGATGTAATGATTGTAACAATGTCAGCCAGATGGACTTCATAGAATATGAATTCCCTGACTGGGGCTGTCAGTCTGGTCCAACTGGGGAGCCCTGGCTGACAGTTAAGAACAGAAGTGCCAAGAATACTTCTTATTCTGAGACCTGGCTCCGAGGGAGCTGGATCAGTGTCCACGTGTAAATAAAGAGTGACTTGGTGACAGGATACCAGCCTCTTTGGAGTTATTTCTGTTAGTTAATGACAAGTAGTTCATTACAGTGAATGGTTTAAAAACAAGGATGGACGAATTAAAATTAAAAGGTGTCAGGTTTAAAGATAATACATTGTTTTGATGAAACATATTTGGAGAAAATAAACAACAAAACCCAGAATATTCTGGTTTCTTGATATCCTATATATTTTTAACCTTTTGCGAAATGCTTTTATGGAGCGAATGATTTCAAGTCACAATTATTTAAGATTATATAAGATAGTTAGCACAGAAACAGATCATTCAGTCCACCCAGTCGAGCGTCCTCCCATCTACACTCATTTAGCATTGTAACATTCTATTCCCTTCTCTCTCATATCTTTGTCTAGTTTACTCTTAGATCTGCGCTATGAATTTCAACTGCTCAGCATGGTAGTAAGTTCCTTGCTATTTGAAAAAATAGGTTTCTTCTGAATTGCCTCTTGGATTTCAGGAGTGCAGTTTGATGGGCTATTAGACATGGGACTAGAATTGGGCTTTCCTTTGTTTTGTCTGGGCTTGGAAGTGACGATCTGGAGGCTGCATAGAAATAAACAATGCTTTGTTTGTACTACGAGCTGCCACACTTAACCAAGGATGATGTGGAAGTAGCAGATTGAAGGTTTTCTCACTGGATAGTTGTAGACGTCTTATCTCTCTTTCAGCAATTGCCCTCACTATAGAACAAAGAACAGTACAGCACAGTACAGGACCTTCGGCCCACAATGTTGTGCCGAACTTTTACCCTAAACCTAAGGTCTATCTAACCTCCACCCTTACCTTATACTATCTTGCTCCCTTGACAGCCTGCTTCTTGAAGTGGGTCAGGAGCCTTATGCCAGGCATCCTGTCCACTTTTGCCTGGTAATGTTCACACTTATTCTTCCCCCACAGAAGGAATAAAGCATTAACAGACATCAGCATGGATACACGAGCACTATACCTGCATTGATAGATACAGGTGTGAATCCCCAGAGCTGTGATTGCTTGTGTGCATTACTAGTAAGAAGTATATGGTATAGGGGAAATCAGTTATTAAAGGATTCTGAAGGAAAGGTGTTTCAGTAATTTTGAAGAACGACAGTTAATGAAAGCCAGTAATGCATTACATGATATGTGCGCTTCAGATATCTGTGAGGTGTTCACCCCAAAGCCATCTTTGTAATTGTGTCCTTATCCCGTTCAAATCTCTGGTGAAAAGTTACCAGATGTTTATTATCTCCTAGTTGTGAAGAAAGGTCAGAAGCTGATGGTGCGCAAGCTGCTGAGTGTTGTAACTCCTTTTATGTTTTCGCAGTGTGAACCCTGGTAGGTGTCCCTTTTATGTTTTCGCAGGGTGATTTCTGGTAGGTGTGAGAGAGAGGGAGTATTGCTGTGGTGCAAGGAGCTCTTCTGATACACTCATGGTGTCCCTATCTGAGTCAAGAGGCACAGGTTCAAGTCCCACCCATTCCAGAGGTGTATAATAACACCTCTGAACTGATTAGTTGTTGGCCCAGTGCTAGATATTTTCTAAGTAGTTTCAGGTTGTACATTATATAATGTATTAACTTAGTGAGAAGAGTTATCTGTGAATAGCAGTGAGGCTAAACCAGTGATAAACTACTGGCCAGAGAGAGAGGGTGAGTGATAAACTCAAATACATAGAACATCACTGCGAAACTGAGACTTTCACAGTGCTCTTACCCTCCAATAGCAAACCAAGGATGATGTGGAAGTAGCAGATTGAAGGTTTTCTCCCTGGATAGTTGTAGACGTCTTATCTCTCTTTCAGCAATTGCCCTCACTATAGAACATAGAACAGTACAGCACAGTACAGGACCTGCGGCCCACAATGTTGTGCCGAACTTTTACCCTAAACCTAAGGTCTATCTAACCTCCACCCCTACCTTATACTATCTTGCTACCTTGACAGCCTGCTTCTTGAAGTGGGTCAGGAGCCTTATGCCAGGCATCCTGTCCACTTTTGCCTGGTAATGGCATGAAACAGCCATTCAGACCCTCAAGTCTGTTGCCCTGTTAAAGTCTGATCATGGTTCATCCCATGGACCCCTTAATGTTCCAAACAATCCCTGAGATCCCAAAATTTCTCTGTCTCTCTCTGTGTCTGGAATATACCGGATGAGCAGGCGTTCTCATGTCTCT